ATGTTTATATTAATGTCCATATTAATGCTCCTGGTTTTGGAATGTCTAACAATCTCTTATAGGTGTGATTCTCAGGTGTCCACATAATTTGATGCATACAGTATGTTAAGTGAACATATTAATTAAAACTATTCAAGCCGAGCCAATGGAACGGCCACTAGGGGGCCTGCAGAAAGAGGTTAACTACTACCAGATTCCATAGATGCTTCATTTCTCCTCATCATTTCTCCTAAGTGGATTTAGCTGTGTGGTCCTGCAGCTAAAAGTAGTTCTCTCACACCGTTCTCTGTTCTGTAGTGCAGTTGTAGGATGTTGTAACGTTGACTGATGCTGCTGCCCCACCATTTCTGCCTCGTATTTGAGTTGCAGTCTCCCGAGTGTGGTAATGGAGAGAACCGAATAGCAGGCCAAAAGTAATTTCCACTTTTGAGCAAGTCTGCAGTTTGCGACCTTTGAGAAAACACACCCACAGATACAGATTTACTGAGCTGTAATGTGGTTCTGTGCTGGGTGTCTGCAGATAAATTTCAGATTTGCCATAATAGTCTCCTCACAGTCCGGCTCAATTGCAAGTATAGAGGCCTAGTCATAGTTCTGAGTAATCATAATTGTTCTTGCATCACATTTGGTTCCAGCTATAATGAAGTGGTGGTTTTCCCAAGTACATTATCTTTAAAGGACACATGAGGCTTTCTTGTGAAAAAGTTTGGGCACCCCAATCAAATTATGTTGATAGGTTGATTTTCTGATTGCAAATAAGCTAACATGGTTTCTGCAGGGCACAAACCTAAATATGGCTTTAATGTATAGGTGAGGCAGGCTGCATGTGCCGAAGAGATTTACTGGGGCAAATCCAACAGTCTACAAGGCCGGCAGGGATCAAAATACCAGTAGACAGACACATCAGAGGCAAATCCATAATCCAAAAAGTAGATAACGAAGCACTAGTCAAATATAAAGAAGCCAAAGGTTCAGTGCTTGGTTATGGCAACACAGAGATTTTGCATGGGAATGTAAATAAGGCCATAAACTAGCTGCCGGTGTGTGTGATGATGGAGGGGTGGAGCAAGTTTTTTCAACTTAACTCTGTACTGCACAGGCAGATTGCCACCTGGCTTGGTGCAGTGCATGCTGTCCAACTTGCGTCGGCACCACTGGTGCATCACGTCATACAGCATTATAATCTTGCAAGAGTGAGGCGGCTACAGTTTTCAGAGGCAGTCGGCGCAGTTGCTCACCAGCCGACTGCCCAAGTTAAGACAGCTTGATGATGACAGAACTTAATCCTCGTTGGCTAGAAGCTCAGCCGACAACCATGTGGCACAACTTATGTTGAATAGAGCATGTAGCACATTGAAATGTGTCGTGTTTGTGGTTATTATTATTAAAAGTAAAGTTTGAATTCATATTCTTTATTAAATGCCACATCTCATATTGAATGCTGCAAGAGCTGATGGCTTGATGGCTCTGTTCTCAGTTCCTCCCCCAACTGCAACTGCTACTCTTACCAACTACCAAGTAGAGGTGCAGTTCATCTCGAACAAGCCCACTGGGACAGTGACATATTTTTGCAAAAAATTAGCACACTAGTATTATAATTGAGTTTAAGTAATAAAAGTGAGTTTAAACATTGGGAAACCTGTATTAAATACAGTTAATGTGCTCATTTATTTTCATTCAAAATATCAATAGAAAGTGTTATTTGACTGGTCTTTGCAGAGCTGTAGATTATCATAAAGTAAAAGAATATTGGACAGCACAATATCATTCATTGTTTTAGCAATGCTGCATGTACTACATTTACTTACCATTTCTTTGATAGTGATATATCTCTCACCCCCCACCCCCCACACTACTGGATTTCTTCATAGCTACTGTTGTTAAGCTGGATACACTATAGAGAATATTGACAAAAATCCCTTTCAACCCAATGAGGAATTATAGTGAGTAGTGTAGCTGTTATAGTCGTCTGTGATCAGGAGTCCTAGACAGCACAACTTGCCTCGCTCTCTCTGGATTGGCAGGATGGCCCTCAACCCCAATCACTACAACGCTAGCTAACCAAGGCATCTTTTCGCTCATATAGCAGAACTGGCAGTTAGCACTCTCCTCCAAGCATGTTGAGCTGTCTTCATGGTCGATGGCTTCACCCTGCTAGTGTTGGTAGTATTATGTGACTAGGGGAGACCTACAGAGTGGGTGGACAAGCAAATGCCAAAAAAAAAAGATTAAGAAATAAAAAAAAGATTCTCTTCACTTTTATTTTAAAGCCTTTATAATATGTAGACCTGGGGGAGTGCCTAGGCAGATGGGGACCCCAAAAAATCCTGCTTAGGGCCCCCTACATGCTGGAGCCGTGGGTCCAGTTGCTAGGTGTGGACCTGAATATTGGTGGAGTGTTCACACCTGCCAAAACAGACCAAACTAAATAAAAAGTCTGATCGGTCCGCACTAAACAAGGTAGGTTTGAAAGGAATACGAGGCTTTTGTGAAATTGGACCCAAATCAGAACATAACAACAGAATAAATGTACTTGTATGCAAGGTTAGGATAGGATCGATGTGTAATCACAAATGCCTACTAGATGAACCTTGTCAGACCTCTGTGCACGACTTAGCACTGTTCCGCAACACATTATCCTCCTGCTTTCCCTCTGTATAAAGCGTTCCACCGCCCAGTCACAAGCCATGAATTCAATTTCCTTTGCCGTCTTGTTTTCCGGGGGTTTGTATCGTAATGCATTGATCTACCCGGTTCTCTACCTGGTGTACTTAGGTGTTTTTCCTATAGTTCTATCAGCTTCTCAGCTCAACTGAAATTGAACAAGCAATAGCTTTTCTCTCTCTGGGGATACATGGATATATAGCCACTGTGCTGAATTGCTGTGGTTTGTTGGCTTGCATTGTTCACTCGGAATGCTGTTTTGTCTTTATTAGCTAATCCTGCTACAGTTGGCTTCATGTGTTTTAGATGCCGGTGAGTTTAATAATTCATCTGCCAGCACCACTGCCTGAGCTGCAATGGAGCATATGCCGTCATCACAGGCAAAATCAGTCACTGTACTGTTTTTGCAACTATTTTCAAGGTTTTATAACCAAATATCTTTGGTTTAAAAATAGAACTGCTGTTTTACACTTTTGATACAACTTGGAATGTATACAGAAGAAACCACTTGGGAAATTGTGTAAAATGCGGTACACAGTTTCTTCATCGCAGCAACAGAGGAGCATAATTTATGAAGTTCCATGGTTGCATCACATTTAGGTGCGTTGATGCAACAACTCTTTAAAATGCTAATTATTTCCCTACAAATGTGCATTCCAAGTTTGAAAATTCACTTTCAAGAGCATGCAACTGGGTCTAATACTGACTAACTTTGATGCATTCATTAACAAATAATTATTTTAGAAATGTATAAATACAAGACTGCAAAAAAATAAAAGTCAGGTTAACTTTCTGCACTGCTTTTTTATACTGTCTCTGTTTAATTTAGGCCTGATTTACATTTTTAGTACTGCATATAAGTAGCAGATTCTGGCCTTCTACCTCCAAGCAGAGGCCTCCCAGAACTCCAGCTCATGTTCTCAGAGCTCTTTTCCTTCATACTAACAAACATGATTTCACTGCTTTTGGAACAAAACCTTGTATGTCCAAAATGGTAAGAAGGAAAAAACCTACTTTTAATGTAAGTCAATGGAACCAGATTTTTTCCCCAGTAATTTTGGGTCATTTCTTTTGGTTTGTTTATCGTGAAATTTACACACAATGAAAAGGACAACAGGTACTTTCAAATCATGTTAAAAACTGAAAAATGGAGATATAAGGTTTTCTTCCAACAGTAGTGATTTGAAGGCACAATCCAAAATGTAGTCCAGTCATCAGTCATGATACAAAACATTATGACATCTGTCACGAGTATTGACATTAGTGATGCAGTTATTGTACTGGGCATATCTGTCATGACAATTCATATAAGCAAAGCACATTTGCCATGTTTGTGACATGCTTATGACAGTGTTATGTAGCAGTGTTCATGTAAACCATCACCCCTCCTTGTATATCCAAAAATCTTTTGTTAGAATTTTACTGAGTCTCTGTCCAAATGCAGTCATGGCCATTCCTTACCCACAGGTTACAGTTTCCCTATCACACAGTGCTGCCACCCTGTGGGAGAGGGTTCCATGGGGGGTAGGGTTCCTCTCAGACTCCAGACTGCAGAGGACTGAGGCCTTGGTGGGATTTTAACTCAGGACCACTCTGGAGCCATAAAATTACAGAAAGAAAACATAAAAAGATATCAAAATGTTTACTCAACCTAATTTGATCAAATTAAAAAAGTAATGCCGAAGGTTGACTTGGGAGAAATGAGGATTTGTATTGAGAGCCTTAAAGCCATTAAACAAGTATTTTCTTTTTCACCAGATATGACAGGATTTTCACTCTTCCCACTGCAGTAATAAACAAACTAAAAAGTTTGGGCCTCATTCACCAACCCTTAATTTCGTCTTAAAACCCATCATTTAAAAACAGCATGTTTTGTTTACTTGGGCTATCTTTGTCTAATATTAAAAGGAGTCTGATGATCTGAAACATTCAAGTTTGACAATTATGTAAAAACAGAAGCAATTGGCAAGGGGGCCAATACTTTTTCACAGCACTGAGGTGTTTGCTCAGTTGTATGTGTTTTATCCTGATCCACAGCCAGAACTGGAGAGGGCTGTCAAACCCTCTTTATTTTTGATGCTGTTTATCATAAATAAAATCTCTTATAGTCTACAATACGGTCTATTATACCACACATTCTGTATGTCGGCCTATTCCACTAATGGAGCGTGCGGCCGCCCCTCATCCTGCACACCTCCTGCATTTTACATTTGCCATTTGCTCTGAATATTACCTTGGCTTTTACTTTTTCTCCAGTGTAAAATGACTTTACTTGCTCATCTTTCATTCCTCTTTGTCCAAACTCACTTCCCCCCTCTCTCTTTCTGTCTTTGTAGCCTGTGAGCTAATGAACCAAGGCATCCTGGCGTTGGTGTCGTCTACTGGCTGTGCAGCAGCTAACGCTCTGCAGTCCCTGACAGATGCCATGCATATCCCGCACTTGTTTATCCAGCGGAACGGAGACGGCACACCCCGAGCAGAATGTCAGCTCAACCCCAGTCCTGATGGAGAGAGGTATACGCTAGCTGCTCGGCCACCAGTACGGCTCAATGATGTCATGCTAACGCTCGTCTCGGAACTGCGGTGGCAGAGGTTCATAATGTTCTACGACAGCGAGTACGGTAAGTGTCACACACCTTTTCCAGGGTCACATTCAAGCACTTTTCAAGCACTTTCAAGGTCCGTTTTCAAGCTTTTCCAGCACATTACAGCTGTAGCAAATTACATATTTATACAATTTGTATCACATTAAAAGAGACGGTATTATGCTATAAACAACCAGAATTGTGTTTGGCTGATCTTCAGGGTTAAAGGGTGAATTAGCAGTTCTACATTAACTCCAGCGTTTAAGACTATTTATTGTTAAACTGTGTTGAACGATAAACTGTGTTGAAATAAGGATTATTTTATTTTTACCTACAAATCTAATTCTGCTGTGGAGCCACAACAGAGCAGTAAAAGAGCCGCGTGTTGCCGACCCCTGTTTTAAATGAACGATGGGAGCCGGCTCCCGTCCAAGAGCTGTTTTTCATTCTTTCTTTTCTGTAACTTAAGAGTTACAATGGCAGGAGGTTAGGGTGATCCTCTCCACGGTGGTATAATGAAGAGCCGTTTGGGAGCCAAAAGAGTCGGCGCTTCTGGGCGGGCCGAGCCAAATGATCTTGGTTCTCCAAAAAGAGCCGAAATTCCCATCACTGTCACACAAGCAGACACGCAAGCGAGCCCAGGTGGAGCAGTTTTCATTTTAGGCTGCAACTTATTTTATTTCTCCATCTAATAACCAAACTATTCAGTCAGATAGTTATTTGTTGCGAAAGAAATACGGTTACAATTTCAAGCATTTTTAAGCACTTTATCCAAAATTCCAGCACTTTTCAAACCTGGAAAATACAACATTGAAATTCAAGCATTTTCAAGGATTTCAAGCACCTGTATGAACCCTGCATATTTGGGTGAATTGAGTCAATTACATGGAACTCAATAGCTATGATAAGAAAGCAGCTCTGAAGGGGCTTTATCATGAAGGCTGAACCTTTCTTGCTTTTTTAAACGAGACTATATAAACATCGTACCAGCCCATTTTGAATTAACCCTCTAAAGTCTAAGGCAGGGGTCGATAACATGCAGCTCCGGAGTGTTAAATAATAAAATAACCCTCCTTTGTAGTAAAATAAATCTCTGCTGATCGTTCAACACAGTTTTAACAATATAGCAATTTAACAAAATGCAGCCTGTAACTGCTAATTCACCGACATTTAACCCTGAAGGTTGGCGCTCAGACTGTTGATTACCACAGCTACTCAGACGAGAATCTCACCTAGCTAGTAGCAATGTAGTTACGAAAAGGCACAGAGAAAGATTTAAGATGAACATCAATACTTTGAAGCCAAACTGACTTATTTGACTTATCACTCCAGCTGGTTTCCTGATACGGTATCTGCAAGTCAGCTTCTTGTTTGAATTTTCCCGTTCCACCTTAAATGGTACAGCAGTTATATTCTGGTGCCATTTAAGATGGAACAGGAAAGTTTGAACAAGATGCTGGCAAATGAGAAGCGACTTCAGCTCCATAAAAAGTCAAACGTGGAGAGACATTATACAAGAAGTGATTCCACTTTTGAGGAAACGTTTCCTGCCGGAGATGCGGGAAAAGCAGCTATAGACATATTTAGAGTTAAGATGCTAAAATGGACATTAAATGTTGTGGCTCCCAAGATGGTTTGATTTTTACTGAAAGGACAAAATGGTGGTTCTTCACATTTGGGTTGCGACCCCTGGGCTAAGAATATTTTCTTGATTTTTGACTATATTCTTAAAGGCCCCTTTAAAGGCACTTGCATATAAAATGATACCCACTTGTTATATAGCAAAATGTTCAGAACAATCTCAGCTGTCTCTGTGATGAAGCCCTTTTAGAGCACTATGTAAAGCAATAATTTGGCTGTAAAGCTGTAAATTGAAGTACAATTGAAATTCTTAATTGCATGAGTAAGGCTATGTTTTCACAAGAGATATTAAGAATTTCTAAAACCGTACTTCAATTTTTCACCTTTAGGGCCAAATTATTGCTTTACATAGTGCTCCAAAAGGGCTAAACCCATTTCAAGCACCAAAACAATTGCATAAGTAAGGTTATGTTTTGACAAGAGATATTGTTTTGGTGCTTGAAATGGATTTACCAACCAATCTAACCAAAAGTCATTTAGGTTCACAACAGTAGTAGAATGTATGAATAAAATAGTAGATAAATGTTATTCTCATCGCTACTTTCCAAAATCGCTGCCACAACTTCAGCAGCTATAAACTTTTTACACACAACTTCATGTCTGTGTCCTAGGCAACTAGTGAAAAATTAAAGGATAAGGTGTCCATTGGTCAGTTTCACGCAAAACATAGACGGACAAACGAATCCACCAATTACATCACTTGAAGGAACATTTATCTTTAACTCTTGGATTCAATATCTTGTCTATGAACTGTTTCTTTTAAAAACAGGTCAAAATGGAATTACAAATCCCTGCTTTTTGTTTTTTATTTGCATTTCACATAAAGTCACAACATTTATGGAGATGAGGTTGGTATTTACATACAACCTCCCATTCAGCCTGCAGCAGTTTAACCTGCCGAGTATGAGAGTGACCGAACTGTGGGCCAAAGAATCTACTGCAGACGATGTACTATAGTTAACACCCATTAATTTGAATTGCTCATTTTCCCCATTTCCCAGCAGCCTCTAAGCTGGACAACCTTGTGATTGCTGAGAGTAAAGCATATACAAGCTTCACTGAAGATTAGGACCACCCAATTTACATCAAAAGAGAGGAGATTCTGGGAAAGTACATGTAAATTGGTTATTCATAGGGCCCACAAGACCAACATTAACCTAATTAGAAAGCAATCACAGATATAGGCTCCCTGGGGCTTTACGTTTACTACACGACTGCTTCAGCATTCATTGTAATTGTTCTCCTGTGAGGCCAACTTTTCGCTGTAAAGCAGGCGGATGTTGATTAAACCTTTGCTTTCTTTTCTGTCGGCTTGGTGCTCTGATTACCCCTTTCAAAGGTTCTTCCTTTTTTATCATACTCTCCTAAAAATCCCCAATTCCCCAAATTAGAAACATCAGGGCACACAGCAGTTTCCTTCCTCTGGGCTGGGTTTTGCTGATTGATGGCAGCTTGCTGTGCTAACATGCAGCCATTACCAAATCACACACCTGGAATGAAGGGACTCACAAGAACAATGGGGGTCTGTCGATCGACCCAGTCGATGCAGAAGTCTACTTTGATTCGCTCGGTGTGGATCTATAGCCTGAGAACAGGGCTTCACATCTTTTTAAATGGCTCTGCTTTTGTGCACACGCGCCGTAACCGCTATCGGATTTGGGCTTTCAGGGGAGCAGCCTGCAAATTCAGACAATAGGATAGCTTTCCTTCTTCTATGGAGCAAGTGTTTTAGAGAAAGCTCTGGAGGAATAACTATGATATTGCACCTGTTTATAACAGCACATTTTGTACCAATTACAACAGGCTTGGTTTACAGCGCCTCTGTGTATTCCCTATTCTCTTGGATCCGAGCCATTCATAGTCACTGTGATAAAGTTTTAATATCAAGTATTCCCAGAACGGAAAGATAACATACTTCAATGAGACAAAAAAAAATGTGGCCATTACAGATGAAGCAAATAACAATGAGTGCGTTTACATGCACTTAATAATCTGATAACTGCAGAAAATCTTTTTTTTTTAGTATTCCGATCAACATGTTTACATGCACTTGAGTAATCAGATAATGAGAAAACTTCAGGTCTACATGAGTCAGACAGTGATCAGATTTCTGCTTTACAACCAGCCAATAAACTCACAGAAGAAGATGTGACATAATTACTCGGTAACACTTTCTATGAATGTCACCTTTGTAAGCATCTATAAACACATTCCTAACATGTTATAATGCATTCATAACGCATTATAAACATAGCTATAAATATTTATAAAAATGCATTACACGTTATAGCCATGCTTATTATACATTATGAATTGTTAACATAATACATTATAAGTACTGATCATAACAGATTATAAGAGCTCATAAGTCGTATTTGTCCGCTCTAAGTAAAGTGAAGCGTACTGTACTAAAGCCTCCTCCAGTGTTCAGAGTGAGGCTTCAAGTTGAAGTATTTACTGAAGGATTTACTGAAACACTAAAACATTCACAGTAAAGCTCATTACAGGCTTCAAATGTCAGAGTTTAAACTAGAGCTGCCATCAGTGTTTTACCCAATGTGGGAAAGGTAATGTACACCACCGTTAGCTTGGTATTTGTCTTTACTTTACGCTCTCCAAGCTGGGACTGACTTTATTGGCACTGACAGTATAACATGTTATTGACACTTATAATGCATTATATTAACAATTCATAATGTATAATAAACATGGCTATAAAGTGTAATTCATTTTTATAAATGTCTATAATCATGTTTATAATGCCATATGAATGCATTATAACATGTTACAGATGTGTTTTGAGTTGTTGTTTGAGGAGCATGAAGAGTTTAAGGTGTTGCCCTGGTTTCAAAATTCCCCTGCTTAACATGTTGGTACCAGATACCACAGGGCACCTTTAGAGGTCTTGTAGAGTCCATACCTTGGTGGTTCAGAGCTGTTTCCGCAGCATATTGAGGACCAACAGCATATTAGGCAAACAGCTCACGATGAGTCAGATGAGTAGTCATTGTTTTGGCTCTAAATGGTGCATTTTTAGCTAATGGATGCTGTCTTCTGTGTGACGCATCTATCTAGTAGTAGTCTGTAGCTTTAAAAGTCATTGGAACCTTTTTGCTTTACAAATTTGAACATGGAGGTTCAGGTCAGATAGGAATTGGACTGTATTTTTTGGGTTGAACCAAATTGTCAGGGCTGATTAAAGCTCACATCAGGGATCGTCTCAAAGCTATCTGAGCATTTTTATCTTGATGGTAGGTGGGGGTGGTGGAAGGAGATAAAACATGATGTTATTGGATATTTTTCATTGGTTTAATGCTATGTTCCCCCTCTTGCTGGTGCACTGTAATCAAAAACCAGAAGTCTTGGATATGGGCAAAAGTGATCACATATTGCTA